CTAACAGAGTGACTTTGAAATCAGAAGGCGCTTATCGACTGGAAGGCAAGTTGAGTATTCGGTATAGAAAAATATCTGTCTGTCTATATTTCTGAGATGACGTATTATAATCATTTACATTGTTTGGACTGTTGTCCTCATCTTTATTGTCATATTCAGGACGTTTCGACCGTTGTACGCTCCAGCCTTCTTCAGGTGACTGGAATTCCGAACTAAACCCTATATTTCGTCCACCGGGCTAAATTATTGTAGTTCCACGTGTCTTGCTAAGCCACAAAAATTTTCCTAAGCCGGCTAAGCATATAAATGAATACAATATGAGAACCAGTAATACAGGGTGCTGGAGAAAAGCAATAATAACCACAAAATTTCAATATGAGCTCTGGTAAAAAAAAAAAAAATGTTACAGAGGTAATCATTTTATAAGTCCTAAAAATTCATACACTGATGTTCTCAAGGATAAAAGCGATGGTTGGATCCAGTGACTTGACCGAAAGAGTTGTGAGTTCAATACCTGGCTACGGCAGTGGTGAACAAAAACTTGGACAGTTGAGTGAAAGAGAGATAACTGTGGCATCCAGAAGAGGTATGGCATGTGGAACAAGAACAATCTGACCCGGTGGACGAAATAACAAGGTTCATTTCGAAATTCCAATCACCTGAAGAATGCCGGAGCGTACAATGGCCGAAACGTCGTGAACATGACAAAAAAAGATAAGGACAACAGTCCGAACTATTTAAATAATGCAAATAACTGAATTGTTATGTATTGTCTATAAAGCAGGAGATGCTGGTAAATACTAACAAAGAAGAAACTTGAAGGAATGAAGATATACATCTATCGGAGAATGATGAAAATGTCATTTAGAATCGGAAAGGAAGATGAACTACATCCGGCAGAATGTATTTTGCAATAATATCCTTAGGATCTCTGCAGCTATATCTTCCCGCTAGCTATGGGTTAAATAACAGAGCATATTGGGCTCTTTAACTACAGTTGCCAAATAGTGTAGGAGGAGAAGTATTTGACACGAAAGGACTCACATATCTTAGATTTCGATATGAAAGTAAACTTGTATCCTGAATTAGACACGTATTAAAATTCCTGATTTTTTATTTGCGTTCATTTCATGCAAAAATATCATTTGGAATTTTATGAATCTATATCTCACCCCTCAGCTATGGGTTAAATAACTTCACATATCGAGCTCTCTAACTATAGTTAGTCGCGAAGAAATAAAATTCTGAATCGAACAGCTGACATCCTGTAAAAAAAATATAGTTTAGTGTAGGCCCGCAGCATCAAAAACTAATCTGTTCAGTCTCTCTTTCTATTCTATAGTTGAGCCTATGGGCAGTAAGGTGGTGGTGGTAGAGGAGGAACAGGGAGGGGAGGAAATCTTATTTGTTATAGTAAATCCAACAGAAACACGCATGGCATTATCTAAGTATTCAAATATCCAATAGTCCTGGGTATGACGATAAACTACATCCGGCAGCAAGGCCGGTGATTCGGAGAAGGGAGGTTTTGAGCAGTGTGAAACTACAGCTTAATTGCTGCTGTTCCCAGGTCTACCCCAAATCGGTGTGATAGCGCCCGCTGAGGGTCCCAGCTATGTATAGATATTGATACCCCCAAATAGCAGCAAAGATTTGGTTGGTTGGGTTTTATGGCATATCAACCCCTGTGGGTCATTTAATGCCAAATTAAGGTATATATATATATATATATATATATATATATATATATATATATATATATATTAAAAATACAGTACTATTAAACATATAGCTGGCAACATTATTATTTCAAAAAAACATTATTGTTTCAAAAGCACATAGCTGGCAACATTATTGTTTCAAAGAAAAAGCAAAAACGTATAGCTGACAACATTATTGTTTCAAAAAACACATTGCAGGCAACATTATTGTTTTCTTTCCATTTTTCCAAAAAACGTATAGCTGGCAATATTATTGTTTCAAAAACGTATAGCTGGCAACATTATTTTTTCCGAAAACATTATCTGAAGCCTTGTTGTTTGACGTAGTTTATCGTCATACCCAGGACGCGGATGTAGTTTATCGTCATACCCAAGACGCTAGCAGCAAAGAATCACTATGAAATTATAAAATACCAGCACTTTAATATAAATTACCAACAATAAACACAGACTAACAAATTGTATCAATATCAAATAAATCTCTTTAAAATACTGATAAGCAAACAAAATGAAATAACTTTCATGACATTAAGCCATATAATATCCTACAATTTCTTAAATCAAACTGTATTCCAAAATATAACTTAAAAAAACACAACATAAAACATATCACCGCCTCTAGTAATGATGTCTACACAAACATGTATATACAGAAAAGCTGAGTATTATCTACCATGTTTTCAGTTGTGAAAGCAGAATAACATGTATCATATTTTTATTACTTCCAACCTCCCTACAAATTTAAATTTCGACGTTAAATGACCCATAAGGAGTCGATATACCGTTAAGCAAACCGATTAATCATTATTAATCTTCTTTTCCAGCCTAAAGTGGAAAGTAAGCATCGCCATTGAGAATGCACTCGTGTAAAGATTTATCTAAAACGAAAGAGTCTAGGGGTATTTGCTGCATGAAACCGAGAGGGCAAACGAATTGTATATTTTCAGACGAAATTTTGTTATTTTCAGACACGAATAATTCCCTCCATATCCTTGGGAATTGTATGAATCTATATCTCCCCACTCAGCTATGGGTTAAATAGTAGTGCATATTGATATAGTTATTAGGTTGGTGCAAAAATAATGACGTAATAATGTCGTTTTTTGACGTATTTTTTAACGTCAAAAAACGACATTATTACGTCATTATTTTGACACCAACCTAATAGTTTCGAAGAAATAAAATTCTGAATTGAAAACCTGAGAACCGGTAAAAATTTATAGTTTAATGCGTGTCCGGAGCAACATGAACTAATCTGTATAAATCTGTCTCTATTCTACATAGTTGGGCCTATGGGCAGTTAGTTGGTGATGGAGGAAATCTTATATAGCAATTTGTTATGGTGAATCTCATAGAAACAGACATGACATTATGTAAGTTTTCAAATAACCAATAGTTTTGGGTGTGACGATAATCAACATGATATGCCGTTAAAGAGACAAACCAATTATTCAGTCAACAATCAGAAAGAGACAGGTGCAAATTGTAGAACACATAAAGAGGAAAGAGTGACGGGAGAATCTAATACACATAGGACATTTTATGGAAAAGCAAAAGAATAAATAGAAAAGGCAAGTATTCTATTGATTGATTGATTTGTTTCCTATGGTTTCATAAACCGTAGGAAACAAATCAATGCGGGTTATTTAAAACCAGAATATATGTTTAGATTGTAAGAATGAAAAAAAAAAAACAGTTTTAGATAATAGTTGCTTATTGAAATAAATGTTACTAATTAACCCATAGCTGGGGTGAGAAGTGATGGATTCCCAAGGCTATTTGAGCAGAAGTAAATATAACAAACACAACTGGGAATAGAACTTGCTCTCCGATTAACAATTACCAGCCATTATAACAACTACACATCAAAGATTACAGCTGATATTACTAAGTGGTCACTCATCTAAGTAGTTAGAAGTTTCAGCGTTGCTTAACTTCGATGATCGTTAGGGAACCGGTGTTTCAATCTGATGTGGCCGTAACCCTCCAAACTAGATTCGTGCCTACAACGCGATTAACATTACAAAGTTTCTCAATACCTTTACTCTTAGACGCATAGTTTTTGTGAACGTGTTTATGATAAAAGAATCTATGAATTTTTTACTACTAATAATTTCGCATTTTTCTCTGATCTCAAACAGGAAGCAGGAATTAATATATTTGCTTCAAGCTTTTATTTGACAATTTTCTGATTTGTTTTTACAACGATGTTCACGTAGTACAATGTAGAGAGTTACAGAAGAGGCCACCGGAAGTGAAAAAGAAGGAAAAAGGCTATAAGAGAGAACAAGGTAGGAGGTCAGAGAGTACGAACTACCATTATAAGCAAGGTGGTAATATTACCCCAATATAAAAGGTGCCACCGGAAGTGAAAAAAAAGAGAGAACAGGATGTTGCTTAAGTTCGTTGTTTGCAAGGAAACCGGGTAAATATCCTTGATAACGAGTTTGGATAGCAAAATAAGCAGAAAGTAAACATAGTATAAAGTCAAACCTTAATAACAGCAAGGAAAGATAGAAAGTAGTAGAGTGCCATGGATGGCCATATCTTTAACATGAAAAGTCCCATTTCCGAACATACACCTCATTTGTGATTTTTTTTAAAAAATATCGTAATGCAAGTTTTGAGTACAAATATTTGCATTTTTGTTTAAAATATCGTTTACCCTCTGCAGGTGAAAATATCCTGTAACCCGACCGTTTACTGGAATTTGTGACCTCACCGCGAATCTTTCTTTTGCTTTTCACACATAAACGGGTTCACACAAATTCAGATGTGAAACGCTTTGTGTTATAAAAAAGTAAATTCGAAATCGCACTACATTAAAAAAAAAAAGATAAAGAAATAAATGAAAAGATATACAGATTGCAAAAAGAATCTGGAAGAAGAAAGGATGAAAAAGTTTTTTCGGGTGAAAGATTTTTTTTTTCAGTGGATAAAAGAGGAAACGATCTAAGATGATGGGGTTTGTGTGAGACGCCTTTGCTTGACGTCAGCAGTGTGTTTAACGTTTAAGACTGAACATATTATATGGTGGATCAACAAAAATAGGACTTTGTGAATCAGGGAACATCGTGAGTAAAGTCAGGAAGCATTCGCTTTTCTCATGACTTATTTGCTGTACACAAATTTGATTGGATGAAAAAACAAAACTAACTCTGTAAAATTTGTTTTCCTGATAGAGCATCTACCGTTTTTCTTGATTTTTTTTTCTTTTTTTAGTGTTCACAGATTTTATTTTGGGATTTTTTGGTTGCATTTATAACATTTTCTTTCAAAATGTATGTAGATACCTTTTCTTTCTTTCTTTTTTTCTTTCTTTCTTTCTTTCTTTTCTATTCTTATCTTTACAGAATATTTGTAAGCATTATTCTCCCTTACATTCTTCGCTTTATATTTTTAAATTTTTCAACATTTACATATTTTTTTCTTTTGCTTTTTCTTTCTTTTTCTTTCTTTCTTTCTTTTTTCTTTCTTTTTCTTTCTTTTTTCTTTCTTTTTCTTTCTTTTCTTTCTTTCTTTCTTTTTTCTTTCTTTTTCTTTTTCTTTCTTTCTTTTTTCTTTCTTTTTCTTTCTTTCTTTCTTTTTTCTTTCTTTTTCTTTCTTTCTTTCTTTTTTCTAACTTTTTCTTTCTTTCTTTCTTTTTTCTTTCTTTCATTTCACAATATTTACAACTTTTTTGTTAGTTACGCTTTGTTTCAATTTATATCTTTTTTACTTTTTTTCGTTTATATATTTTGTCATTTTTTCTTTTCTGTTACTTTCTTTTAAGAAGATTTACAATTTTTTGTTCGTTTCACGTTAAATGCTTCACTTTCAATTTTCAATTTTCTTAACTTATGCATTGTTTGTTTATTTATTTTGTTGTTTCTTTAATTCGTTCTTTTCCAAGCATTGTAACTTCATTTATTACTTTATATCGCCCGCTTCACACACTTCTCGTCTTTTGAACAGTGTAGAGGTTTATCATTATTGTCCTGTTTACCCCCTCTTTCAATTCCAATAAAATCTTGCGTCTTAGTGGAATTATCGCCTTGTTTGGGGTGAACAGATTAAACGTAGAAAATATTTTGCCTTCCTTTGATTTTCTTTATTTTACACCTTTCCTTAACTTTCTAGATTTGCTGATGTTTATTTAATTTTTTTTCCGAATTCAGATATTTTGTCTTTCTTTTTTCTATGTCTTTTTTTTTACACCTTTCTTTAATTTTTGTCGTGGCTTACGCGTATTTTTTTTTCTAAATTCACGTATTGTTTTTTTGCCATCATTATTTCTTTTCATCTCCTTTTTCGCCTTAGCTTTAAAAGTTTCTGCCGTTTTTTAATCGTTTATGCATATTTTGAAATGTTTCATAATCTTTCTTTCGTATTTTTTCTCAAAGTTTACATATGCTTTTATTTATTTTTTTTTTTAATTATTCTCACTTTTGAAACTTCGTACGACTCTTCTCTTTCTTTCTTTCTTATTGTAATTCTTTATTCTCATGGCTTATATATTTCTATTATTTTTTGAAAATTATTTCCTCTTTATTTTCTCAAGGTCTCCTTAAGTCTTATATGCTTCATCATTTTTATTTACTTCGTGGAGTTAATTTTTAATACTTTTGTGTGCTTCAAATTTTATTGTATGCTACTTATCGAGCTTTATAAAAGTTTCTTTTATGTGTAAATCTCAGAATCTACCCGAATCGAATAAACAAATAAAAATAAACAAACACCAAAAAATATACATCAAACCGAATAGAGAAATAGGAAAAATATAAAATTCAATACAAATTCATGGGTTCTTCAGTATTGCGTAAATCACTGGTGTTGTGTGCCGTTTCATTGATTTTCGCTGGGTTAAGAGCTGAACGATAAAAGATAAATAAAAAATATAGTCATTTCTCGAACAAACCCCAGATTCCGTCTCTAACGAGTTCATACACGGAGATCTTTCTTTTAGCCTACTCACTGTTTCTCGCTAAACTACTCCCAAAAATGTATACGCTTACATCTGCCCATACACGCGCACACACACAAACAAACATACAAAGACATTATATATATATATATATATATATATATATATATATATATATATATATATATATATCAGTAATCATACTGATAAACACAGGTGTGGCATACAGAACAGGATCTGTGGTGAAATAATGAAATACAAGTCTAAACAAAATCTTTCGAAAATTTCTAAGCGTTGAAATGCTCAAATGTTTTCGAATGACATTAAGGAAAAGGATAGGTAATTAAACAGAAAATAGATATTAAAGCTGAACGATTGAGAGGGGAATAAATAGACATCTTCAAAACTTAATCATTCAAAAAAAATGCATTAGTAAAAAGATAAAAAAATTTAAAATATTAAAATAAACACTTACAAAAATCAAACAAAACACACAAACACACCCACACACACACACACACATATATATATATATATATATATATATATATATATATATTAGTGGTAAATATATACATACATATGCAAAATATATAAATATATATACATAGGTGCATACCAAGGTCTGATGAATTGGATCGTATTTACGATTCCAATGGAATAAATTATGAACATGGAATATTAGTGCTTAAGCCTTCATATTATATATATGTGTGTGTGTGGGTATACCAAGTATAGGATTGTTGTATACAGAATAAATTCCAGTAACCAAAAATACTATTCTAAAAAGCGTCCTTCATACACAGTAAAACAAATATAATTCGTTCAAAAATTATATATATATATTAGGATATTAGATCGAAAAACATGAGAAAATCTCTACACAACTGCAGTCGCCTTTCGATGCGTACCAATGCATCTCATAAGGCGATTGTAAATTACTGGTGAGTGAATGATTTATTTAGATTTAAAATCAAAATACAACCCCATTTAACAATGAAAAAGTGGGGTTATAAGGCTTGTGATTTTTACTCAAATCAACCAGTCGAATATGACCTATGTTAAATTTAAACTAAGGGAAGAAGCAAAAATTAAGAAATTATAATTATTTTTTTCATTTTTTCGTCTTTCGTTGAATATGATCGACAAAGAAAATTTATTTAGCTTTTCACGTATTCTTCGATTCTTCTGTGTGGCCGAGTAAGATAGTGTAGAAATTGTACGTACTGCACTATGGTTCGTTTTCAAAGGGCTTGTTGTTAATTTTTTTTTCCATAGTTGTCTTTTAAGATGGTGTTATGGGTTGCCGATTGACTAGTAGTAACGTTTATTTCGATTCTTGCGAATGGAACGTGATATCTTTCTACTTTGAAACAAAAAAACATTAACGCATTACTTCTGACTTTACATAAATATGCAGGGTCCGAGGGATAAATTGTCGTCTAAAATTACGTACAACTGAAAATAACACTGATATCTCATTTTAACAGTTACATTTTGCAAAATTACACAAACATATCTTGAAATGCTAAAGAGTAAATTTATTCAATAAAATCGCTATTGGCTTCAACCACGGCCACCAGGCGACTTCGGAATCTCCTACAACTCTTCTGGACTGTCTCTTTGTTTAAGTTGGTGAATGTTGTAATCCTTGCCTTCAGTTTATCTTTGGTGTTACAAGGACAATTTTGCTGTCACACACGGTATATCAGCGTGAACGGACTTAGATTACCGGCGATCAGAATGTTAACCGAGATTGGACTAAACATTATCAAAAAGAGTCGCAATGTGTGATTAAAAATTTGAAAAGTTGTAGCTGACAGATTGCAAACAGGTCGATACCAAATCAGTATCGAATTGGTCCCAGTGGAGAGAGGGGATATAGAGTTGAAAAATTCATTCTCCACCCACCCCCCCGCCTAATGAACGTCAACTAGAAAAAACAAACACACACACATACTGATGATGTACTAAATCATTAAACAGATGAATTTCCGGATATATACATGATTCGATGAATAAATTGTTGTCGGAATTACACAAAAATGAAAATAACACTGACATCTCAATTTAACATTTATATTTACCAAAATTATACACAAATATCTTAAAATGCTAAAGAGTAAATTTATTCAATAAAATCGCCTTTGGCTTCAACCGCAGCCTCGAGACGACTTCGGATTCTCCTGCAACTCTTCTGGGCGGTCTCCTTGTTTAAGCTTTGTTAATGCTGCCATAATCCTTGCTTTTTTTTTTTCTTGTTTTGTTTTGTTGTTAGTCTATCGCTCAAATACGCCTCACGGATAATAATCAAGTTGGATTGCAGTCTGGAGAGTTAGGTGACCAGATATAAAATGTGGTGTTGTCGCAGAAATTGTCTGACAGCCATAACTATTTTCTCCTGTTTGTGTGGTATGGTGCAAAGTCCTGTTGTAGACATAGGGTCATCCATCAACCACAAGGCACCACTAACTCCTTCAAGGCATTTGATGTAAGCCGCCGTGATGATATGTATATATATATATATATATATATATATATATATAGGGAGAGAAGATAAGAGAGAGAGAGAGAGAAAGAAAGAGAGAGATCTTGGTCTATATCTATATATATATATATATATATATATATATATATATATATATATATATATGAGTGTTGACAATATTAATACGATATTCAACATGATATAACAATACCCCAATAGACCCGAATAAAAAAAATCAAATTATTTATCTACTATAAAAAATTTAATACAGGTAACCTTATCCACAAAAACAACAACACACCTGCTAAGTCAAAAGTCCAACGAACAAATATTATCTATGAGTTTAAATGCCCCTTAAGGAACTGTGTTACTGATCAAACCTAACTCATAAATAATTACACCTATCTGGCCACAGCTCTATTAGAACCCATTTAAACACACACAAAAACTTACCAGACTCGATTCGAAACATACTAGTAGAAAACACAAATATAATAACCTCATCGACTTGTAAAAAATAAAGATTAAAAATAATGGAAGCCCTAATAATAAAAAATAATATACCAACTCTTAAAAATATTAACTACGAACTAGTCCACAATGTGCTGTGCTCAAAAAATAAACCCCTCTATAACACCCTAAAAGTATACACACCCAATTAAAATAAAAAATAAAATCATCTTTGATAATGGCTAAAGGTATAGCCGAAAGCGCTCGGAACTATAAAACATTTGGACAGTTTCTACGCATTCTGTGTCCAAAAAAGAAAGCTCTTGTAAAAACACAAGAAAAATTAAATAAAAAGCTTAAACGTAGTAACTTGTATGTCGTTTTTAATGAAACATGCATAAATGAAGGATTGCTGCGTAAATACACAATTATATAGATAGATACGTGCATACATAAAATAAAATGGCAGTTACACTTGTTGATATAAGTAAAATTACCTATTGAATTATTTATTGATTTGTGCTATACGATTAATCAATAATGTGTGGGTTGTTAAAAGCTGAACCATATTTTGGATTGTAGCAAAATATTTTTTAACGAGTGAATATTGCATTAATAATGATATCGATCCTCAGTGTCAGAATAGATTATTATGTTACTGAATATATATTTACATATAATTATTAAAACTAAGGATACATATATGTGTGTGAGTGTGTGTGTTATCTGTGTGTGAGTGTGCGTATAAAATGTTTCAATATATGTTACATTGTGACAAAATTTTGTAAATATCAGAGATAGAGCCCTTGTAAATATTGAAGTTTAAGATGAGGTCATCCCTATTAAGCGACAGTAGGTTTCATGCCTCAGTGCAAATTCCAGGCCAAGTGTCATGCGTAAATCTCTTTGACACATGCCTAGAATAGTGTG